AAAGGAATAAAGTGAATAATCTATTAAGAAAGGCAAAGAAACTTTACTTTTGTTTAAAATGTGGAAATTCGAAAAATGATATCAAAGGTACATGGAAAACCATCAATACCCTTTAAATAAATCGAAACCCAAATTACCCACATATATTATGAAGGATGGTAAAATGGTTGAAAATGATCAATCTATTGCACATTAATTTAATTCGTATCTTATTTCCTCATGTTCTGGGTTTGATGCAAATAATCGTCTTGCTCAAATTAATACTATTTCTCATACAGATTACCTACATGTCCGAACTTCTTCTTCTTCATTATTGTTTAAGCCTATAATCACAAAATTAATTCATTGAAGTGTGTAAATCATTAAGAAATACAAAATCTTGTGCATATGTTAACATAGGTTGCAATGTACTCAAACAAATCATTCATGCTATTGTAAAACCGTTGGTCTCCATTTTTAATATAATTATCACTGTCCGCTGGCACGTTTCCAAGCAAACTTAAAATTGCGAAGATTATTCCTATTTTTTAAAAAAGACGATCGTCATTCATTAAAAAATTATCGACCAATAACTCTGTTACCCTGTATATCAAAATTATTGGAAAAATGTGTTTATAATCGATTGCATAGTTTTCTGTTCTTTCTAAACATAATATACTTACTGATTGCCAATTTGGATTTCGACGTAATCATTCCACAACCCATGCTTTGATTGATTTGCAGGGTAACGTGACATTAGCAATGGAAGAAAAAAAATTGGATTGGAATATTTATGGATTTATCAAAAGTTTTGATATAGTAGATCATTCAATTCTCTTGTCCAAATTGAACTTTTATGGTGTACGTGGAAACCCTCTAATTTGTTTTAAAAGTTATATGCAATCGACGTCAACTATAATGTTTCTGATTTTGCAGACATAACCCACGGCGTTTACTTTTGCATACGGAAACGTTTGCTTGTATTTGTCTCATAAAAGAAGTTGATCACAAACTAACTCCCACACGGTGTTGAGTGCTCAGGGGTCACATGCCACTGGCTTCATCGGGCAGGTAGTTCCATTATGTGAATGGGTAAATTAACTATTACAAAATGAGGGGACACATTACTATATTATTATTATTTATTATTATTTATTCGGCAAAGGAAAACATTACATATCAGTGTACACAATACAAATAAGACATAATTATCAACCATTGGAACGCCAGGGACAGAAAAAGTTAACTAAATTACTGTGGCATAAAGCCTCCTGTCCCAATTCCAATGGATGATTTACATAAAACAGAAATAAGAAGTTTAGCCTTGGGTTACCTTCAAAGTTGAAAAGTAATTAGGGCCTATTAAACAATTATAAGTGATGTAATTAAATGCAATAGGGACACACATTGTTTTTATTGTGCAGAACATACTCTTTTATTGACTTACTTATTGCAAGAAAATATAAAACCAAAATGCATTTTGAATTCTAACAATTGGAGTACAAAGAATAATAACAGGTGAATGACATGCACAAGCACCTTTTTGTCGAATTCTTCCAGTCACTCATTTCTTCTCTTCCAATTACCCCCCCCCCCCCCCCCCGAAAAAATCCTGCTGTTATTAATACCAACATATTTCCCGGGTAGACTTTCCCTATAATGAACAGGGGGATAATTTTCGAGGGGTAATTGTCCTCGGGTATTGTTGTCCTTGGTTGAACGTGGGGGTGGGGTTGTGCCGGGGGTATTTGTAAATGGTGGTGGTGGTGGGGGGGGGGAGATATTGTCCCGTTACGGTAACAAAATCTAAAAAAATCTGTTCACCTCCGGTGGGACTCGAACCCACAATCCCCGGTTTAGAAAACCGATGCCTTATCCATTAGGCCACGGAGGCGGATGATGAAAGTGTTTCAAATGAGATTTTATTCTGTAAAAATGAACCATCTAGCGCTGGTCATCTCAGCTTGGATTCATGGTCATGTGACATTCCGATATTACATCAAAGAGGTATTACAGCTGGAGTTCCAAAAACTAAAAATGTATGCAAACATCTGGCAGAATTGCAAGGATTGCACAATCACTGAAATGCTTTCTTTGAAAAATGGGGATTTCCACAGCGTTTGACGAAACAAAGCAAGAAGATATTAGGATAAAAAAAAATAACTAACTAGTTTACAACAACAAAAAATCTGTTCACCTCCGGTGGGACTCGAACCCACAATCCCCGGTTTAGGAAACCGATGCCTTATCCATTAGGCCACGGAGGCCCACAAAGATAAGGAATGTCCATCATAAAATTGTAATCTGTTAATAAATGAATCGCTTAAAATAATACTTTAATATTTTATATCTAAGGCACCAAGCCGCCATACATAAGCCCCTGGGCGATTTGGAGTAAGTTAGAAGTTCTTATATTATAAACACATGCGCCTTTTTGTCGAATTCTTCAGTCACTCATTTCTTCTCTTCAAATTACCCCCCCCCCCCCCCCCGAAAAAATCCTGCTGTTATTAATACCAACATATTTTCCGGGTAGACTTCCCCTATAATGAACAGGGGGATAATTTCGAGGAGTAATTGTCCTCGGGTAATGTTGTCCTTGGTTGTACGTAAGGGGGGGGGGGGGGGGGGTAATTGTCCCGATACGGAAACAAAATGTCTCTCATAAAATTGTAATCTGTTAACAAATGAATAACTTAAATGCTTTAATTTTGTATATCTAAGGTACCAAGCCGCACATATAAAAGGGCAATAGGGAGTAGGTTAGAATTTATTATATTATAAACACAAGCACCTTTTTGTCGAATTCTTCCAGTCACTCATTTCTTCTCTTCCAATAACCCCCCCCCCCCGAAAAAAAATCCTGCTGTCATTTTATACCAACATATTTCCTGGGTAGACTTTCCCTATAATGAACAGGGGGATAGTTTTCGAGGGGTAATTGTCCTCGGGTATTGTCGTCCTCGGTTGTACCTGGGGGGGGGGGGGGGGAGGCTGCTAGGGGGTAATTTTCAGTGGTGTGGGGGGGGGTAATTGTCCCGATACGGAAAAAAAACAAAAAATCTGTTTACCTCCGGTGGGACTCGAACCCACAATCCCCGGTTTAGAAAACCGATGCCTTATCCATTAGGCCACGGAGGCGGATGATGAAAGTGTTTCTCCTAAGATTTGATTCTGTCAAAAATGAACCATCTAGCGCTGATCATATCAGCTTTGATTCATGGTCATGTGACATTCCGATATTGTATCAAAGAGGTATTACAGCTGGAGTTCCAATAATTATAATGAATGCAAAACATTTGGCAGAATTGCAAGGATGCACGATCACTGAAATGCTTTGTTAGAAAATTAAGGATTACCACAGCGTTTGCCAAAACAAAGCACGAAGAAATTTAAGATAAAAATAATAACTAACTAATTTACACAACAAAACATCTGTTCACCTCCGGTGGGACTCGAACCCACAATCCCCGGTTTAGGAAACCGATGCCTATCCATTAGGCCACGGAGGCGGATGATGAAAGTGTTTCTCCTAAGATTTGATTCTGTCAAAAATGAACCATCTAGCGCTGATCATATCAGCTTGGATTCATGGTCATGTGACATTCCGATATTGTATCAAAGAGGTATTACAGCTGGAGTTCCAATAATTATAATGAATGCAAAACATTTGGGCAGAATTGCAAGGATGCACGATCACTGAAATGCTTTGTTAGAAAATTAAGGATTACCACAGCGTTTGCCAAAAACAAAGCACGAAGAAATTTAAGATAAAAATAATAACTAACTAATTTACACAACAAAACATCTGTTCACCTCCGGTGGGACTCGAACCCACAATCCCCGGTTTAGGAAACCGATGCCTTATCCATTAGGCCACGGAGGCCTACGCAGTTCTAAGCCGTCTCTCATAAAATTGTAATCTGTTAACAAATGAATAACTTAAATGCTTTAATTTTGTATATCTAAGGTACCAAGCCGCCCATATAAAGGGGCAATAGGGAGTAAGTTAGAATTTATTATATTATAAACACAAGCACCTTTTTGTCGAATTCTTCCAGTCACTCATTTCTTCTCTTCCAATAACCCCCCCCCCCCCCCCCGAAAAAAAATCCTGCTGTTATTTTATACCAACATATTTCCTGGGGTAGACTTTCCCTATAATGAACAGGGGGATAGTTTTCGAGGGGTAATTGTCCTCGGGAATTGTCGTCCTCGGTTGTACCTGGAGGGGGGAGGCTGCTAGGGGGTAATTTTCATATGGTGGGGGTTTGCTAGGGGGTAATTTTCAATGGTGTGGGGGGGGGGGGTAATTGTCCCGATACGGAAACAAAACCAAAAAATCTGTTTACCTCGGTGGGACTCGAACCACAATCCCCGGTTTAGAAAACCGATGCCTTATCCATTAGGCCACGGAGGCGGATGATGAAAGTGTTTCTCCTAAGATTTGATTCTGTCAAAAATGAACCATCTAGCGCTGATCATATCAGCTTTGATTCATGGTCATGTGACATTCATATATTACATCAAAGAGGTATTACAGCTGGAGTTCCAATAACTAAAATGTATGCAGACATCTGGCGGAATTGCAAGGATGCACAATCACTGAAATGCTTTGTTGGAAAATTAAGGATTACCACAGCGTTTGCCAAAACAAAGCAAGAAGAAATTATGATAAAAATAATAAACTAACTAATTTACACAACAAAACAACTGTCATCTCCGGTGGGACTCGAACCCACAATCCCCGGTTTAGGAACCGATGCCTTATCCATTAGGCCACGGAGGCCCACGGAGTTCAAAGATGTCCCTCATAAAGTTGTAATCTATCAATGAATGAATCGCTTAAAATAATACTTTAATGTGTTATAAGGTTCCAAGCCGCCCATAGATAGGGGGATTTGGAGGAAGTTAGGAGTTATTATATTATCCACACAAGCACCTTTTTTTCGAATTCTTCCAGTCACTCCTTTCTTCTATTCAAATTGTCCCGATACGGAAACAAAATCTAAAAATCTGTTTACCTCCGGTGGGACTCGAAACCCACAATCCCCGGTTTAGAAAACCGATGCCTTATCCATTAGGCCACGGAGGCGGATGATGAAAGTGTTTCTCCTAAGATTTGATTCTGTCAAAAATGAACCATCTAGCGCTGATCATATCAGCTTTGATTCATGGTCATGTGACATTCAGATATTACATCAAAGAGGTATTACAGCTGGAGTTCCAATAACTAAAATGTATGCAGACATCTGGGGGAATTGCAAGCATGCACAATCATGGCCCTGGGAAGCAGGGGTGCTGGGGGTGCTGCAGTACCCCCGGAATTTTTCCGGGGGGAGGGGGGGGGGCACAGCACCCCCTGCAATTTTTTTTCGTATGATATATTTAATGTATATCATTATATGCTTCGTTTACAAAATTGTCACACAGCCGTCAGCCACAAATGAAGATTAGAAAGAAAAAAATTATAACGTTTCTTTCACAAAATCCTATAAAATGTATCCCTCGAAGAGAATTTGTTTTTTTTAATAAAAAAAAAATTGTCCTAATTGGGGACCCCAAAATGACAGACCTCCCCCCCGCCCCCCCCCCCCCCCCCCCCCCCCCCCCCCCCCCCCCCCCAATACCGATGGACAAAATTTTCAAATTATTCGACACACACCAAACAAAAAATGCCCTCTTCCCCCCCCCCCCCTCCCCCTCTGCTTATTCAGTGGCTGGCTAAGTCGTTGCGAAATTTTTGGGACCAAAAAAAAAAAATATGTCCTCTTACCCCCCCCCCCACGCTTATTCAGCGGCTGGATGAGTCGTTGCAAAAAATAATTTCGCAGTATATATATCTCAGCGGCCCCGGAGAAAAAATCGTTCCCAGGGCCCTGTGCACAATCACTGAAATGCTTTGTTGGAAAATTAAGGATTACCACAGCGTTTGCCGAAACAAAGCAAGAAGAAATTATGATAAAAATAATAACTAACTAATTTACACAACAAAACATCTGTTCACCTCCGGTGGGACTCGAACCCACAATCCCCGGTTTAGGAAACCGATGCCTTATCCATTAGGCCACGGAGGCCTACGCAGTTCAAAGACGTCTCTCATAAAATTGTAATCTGTTAACAAATGAATAACTTGAATGCTTTAATTTTGTATATCTAAGGTATCAAGCCGCCCATATATAGGGGCAATAGGGAGTAAGTTAGAATTTATTATATTATAAACACAAGCACCTTTATGTCGAATTCTTCCAGTCACTCATTTCTTCTCTTCCAATAACCCCCCCCCCGAAAAAAAAATCCTGCTGTTATTTTATAACAACATATTTCCCGGGTAGACTTTCCCTATAATGAACAGGGGGATAGTTTTCGAGGGGTAATTGTCCTCGGGTATTGTCGTCCTCGGTTGTACCTGGAGGGGGAGGATGCTGCTAGGGGTAATTTTCATATGGTGGGGGTTGCTAGGGGGTAATTCTCAATGGGTGGGGGGGGGGGGGGGGTAATTGTCCCGATACGGAAACAAAACCAAAAATCTGTTTACCTCCGGTGGGACTCGAACCCACAATCTCCGGTTTAGGAAACCGATGCCTTATCCATTAGGCCACGGAGGCCTACGCAGTTCAAAGACGTCTCTCATAAAATTGTAATCTGTTAACAAATGAATAACTAAATGCTTTAATTTTGTATATCTAAGGTACCAAGCCGCCCATATATAGGGGCGATTTGGAGTAAGTTAGGAGTTATTATCTTATATTATCCACACAAGCACCTTTTTTTCAAATTCTTCCAGTCACTCCTTTCTTCTATTCAAATTACCCCCCCCCCCCGAAAAAAAAAATTCTGCTTTTATTTTATACCAAACATATTTTCCTGGGTAGACTTTCCCTATAATGAACAGGGGGTAATTTTCGAGGGGTAATTGTACTCGGGTATTGTCGTCATCGTTTGTACGTGTTGGGGGGGGGGGGGGTTGCTAGGGGTAATTTTCAATGGTGGGGGATAATTGTCCTAGGGGATAATTGTCCCGATACGGAAACAAAATCTAAAATTCTGTTTACCTCCGGTGGGACTCGAACCACAATCCCCGGTTTAGAAAACCGATGCCTTATCCATTAGGCCACGGAGGCGGATGATGAAAGTGTGTCTCCTAAGATTTGATTCTGTCAAAAATGAACCATCTAGCGCTGATCATATCAGCTTTGATTCATGGTCATGTGACATTCAGATATTACATCAAAGAGGTATTATAGCTGGAGTTCCAATAACTAAAATGTATGCAAACATCTGGCAGAATTTCAAGGATGCACAATTACTGAAATGCTTTGTTTGAAAATGAGGGATTTCCACAGCGTTTGCCGAAACAAAGCACGAAGAAATTTAAGATAAAAATAATAACTAACTAATTTACACAACAAAACATCTGTTCACCTCCAGTGGGACTCGAACCCACAATCCCGGTTTAGGAAACCGATGCCTATCCATTAGGCCACGGAGGCCTACGCAGTTCAAAGACGTCTCTCATAAAATTGTAATCTGTTAACAAATGAATAACTTAAATGCTTTAATTTTGTATATCTAAGGTACCAAGCCGCCCATATAAAGGGGCAATAAGGAGTTAGTTAGAATTATTATATTATAAACACAAGCACCTTTATGTCGAATTCTTCCAGTCACTCATTTCTTCTCTTCCAATAACCCCCCCCCCCCGAAAAAAAATCATGCTGTTATTTTATACCAACATATTTCCTGGGTAGACTTTCCCTATAATGAACAGGGGGATAGTTTTCGAGGGGTAATTGTCCTCAGGTATTGTCGTCCTCGGTTGTACCTGGGGGGGGGGGGGTGGGTTGCTAGGGGGTCATTTTCAATGGTGGGGGATAATTGTCCTAGGGGATAATTGTCCCGATACGGAAACAAAATCTAAAAATCTGTTTACCTCCGGTGGGACTCGAACCCACAATCCCGGTTTAGAAAACCGATGCCTTATCCATTAGGCGACGGAGGCCCACGGAGTTCAATAATGTCCCTCATAAAATTGTAAACTGTTATGAAAAGAATCGCTTAAATGCTTTAATTTTTTTTTTTCATATCTAAGGTTCCAAGCCGCCCATAGATAGCAGCGATTGGGAGTAAGTTAGAAGTTATTATATTATCCACACAAGCACTTTTTGTCGAATTCTTCCAGTCACTCCTCTCTTCTCTCCAATCCCCCCCCCCCGAAAAAAATCCTACTGTTATTAATACTAACATATTTTCCGGTATTGACTTTCCCTTAAATGAACAGGGGATAATTTTCGAGGGGGATTGTCCTCGGGTAATGTTGTCCTTGGTTGTACGTAAGGGGGATTGTCCTAGGGGTAATTTTCAATGGTGGGAGGGTAAGGGGGGGGTAATGTATAGGGGATAATTGTCCAAGGGGGTAATTGTCCCGATACGGAAACAAAATCTAAAAATCTGTTTACCACCGGTGGGACTCGAACCACAATCCCCGATTTAGAAAACCAATGGCTTATCCATTAGGCCACGGAGGCCTACGCAGTTTAAAGACGTCTCTCATAAAATTGTAATCTGTTAACTAATGAATAACTTAAATGCTTTAATTTTGTATATCTAAGGTACCAAGCCGCCCATATAAAGGGGCAATAGGGAGTTAGTTAGAATTTATTATATTATAAACACAAGCACCTTTTTGTCGAATTCTTCCAGTCACTCATTTCTTCTCTTCCAATAACCCCCCCCCCCCCCCGAAAAAAAATCCTGCTGTTATTTTATACCAACATATTTTCCGGGTAGACTTTCCCTATAATGAACAGGGGGATAATTTTCGAGGGGTAAATGTCCTCGGGTATTGTCGTCATCGGTTGTACCTGGGGGGGGGGGGGGGTTGCTAGGGGGTCATTTTCAATGGTGGGGGATAATTGTCCTAGGGATAATTGTCCCGATACGGAAACAAAATCTAAAAATCTGTTTACCTCCGGTGGGACTCGAACCCACAATCCCCGGTTTAGAAACCGATGCCTTATCCATTAGGCGACGGAGGCCCACGGAGTTCAATAATGTCCCTCATAAAATTGTAAACTGTTATGAAAAGAATCGCTTAAATGCTTTAATTTTTTTTTTCATATCTAAGGTTCCAAGCCGCCATAGATAGCAGCGATTGGGAGTAAGTTAGAAGTTATTATATTATCCACACAAGCACCTTTTTGTCGAATTCTTCCAGTCACTCCTCTCTTCTCTCCAATCCCCCCCCCCCCCCCGAAAAAAATCCTACTGTTATTAATACTAACATATTTTCCGGGTATTGACTTTCCCTTAAATGAACAGGGGGATAATTTTCGAGGGGAATTGTCCTCGGGTAATGTTGTCCTTGGTTGTACGTAAGGGGGATTGTCCTAGGGGTAATTTTCAATGGTGGGAGGGTAAGGGGGGGGGGGGGTAATTGTATAGGGGATAATTGTCCAAGGGGGTAATTGTCCCGATACGGAAACAAAATCTAAAAATCTGTTTACCACCGGTGGGACTCGAACCCACAATCCCCGATTTAGAAAACCAATGGCTTATCCATTAGGCCACGGAGGCCTACGCAGTTTAAAGACGTCTCTCATAAAATTGTAATCTGTTAACTAATGAATAACTTAAATGCTTTAATTTTGTATATCTAAGGTACCAAGCCGCCCATATAAAGGGGCAATAGGGAGTTAGTTAGAATTTATTATATTATAAACACAAGCACCTTTTTGTCGAATTCTTCCAGTCACTCATTTCTTCTCTTCCAATAACCCCCCCCCCCCCCCCGAAAAAAAATCCTGCTGTTATTTTATACCAACATATTTTCCGGGTAGACTTTCCCTATAATGAACAGGGGGATAATTTTCGAGGGGTAAATGTCCTCGGGTATTGTCGTCATCGGTTGTACCTGGGGGGGGGGGGGTTGCTAGGGGGTCATTTTCAATGGTGGGGGATAATTGTCCTAGGGATAATTGTCCCGATACGGAAACAAAATCTAAAAATCTGTTTACCTCCGGTGGGACTCGAACCCACAATCCCGGTTTAGAAAACCGATGCCTTATCCATTAGGCCACGGAGGCCCACGGAGTT